AAAAAAAAAGAAAATGGAATTTTTAAAATCTATTTCCTGCCTAAATATTTAACAGCCAGTGGGCAAGATATTGATCTCTGCTGCGTGGGAACAGATTCATAGCAATTCCATGTATTTTATGTTTCGTTTCAGAAGACACAAATATGTAACCACTCCCAAACTTTGGTTATTCTAGTTACTGAAGTTTTCAAGGTCACAGTGTATATCAGTATCAGAGCTAGGAATAGAATCCTTGGTTTCCAATTCCCTGTGCTAAGTACCTATTCCATCTTAATCTACACAGAAGTTTCATCCCAAAGTGCTTTTTTATACTAGGGCTGCAATGCTGCAAATTCTTACACACTTCATTTTTCACCTATGGATAAGCATAAAACAGAACTGAGCCTTACCATGCTGATCTCTCTCTGGATTTGCTTCTGTGTGCTTAGCTCTGCTTTGGAACAATTGTAGTTCTCTGCTGGGAGCTTTAGGAGTGCCTGAAGAAGGGTTGGTGCCTTCTTGAGCTTTGGATAATGTGAGAAACAGTTCACAAAGGATCCATCGTATGTTTCCCTTCTACACTCAGTTCATTCTGATAGCTGACATGTAGGGCATCAGGGCCAGGGACCTAGCCACAGCCTAGTACTTCAGAAAATGCAGAGGCTTTATTATTTACATTCTTCCTGAATTAGGCTGTTTCCTATGAAAGTTCATAGGTGCCCTCTGAACCAATTAGTCTTTAGAGTACCATTCTGCCTAGCCTTTTGCTATTGCTACCATAGTGTCATAAGTGTTCTCAACATACACAGGAGACATTTGCATTGTTTTCATGGCAAAGCTCTTGCTGCATGAAGCAAGTAGTTCTCCCCATGAAGTCTACAATACAAGCTACGCACATGCTATTAGTACTATTAGTATTAGTGGAACTTCTATGACTGGGTGTCCCAACAGCAGTAGATATGGAAGCAGCCCTTTTCCAAAATGTCCCTTTCCTTTCTTATCTGTAATTAATTATTTTCCCTCAGTCAGTAAAAGAAAAAAAATCACCAGTATGCAATAAGAAGCTATCCTCTGCACTTTTCCACATATGCTGCATTTCCTGGGGATAGAAGCTATAAAAAACCTGACAGAGATTTGACACAGTCCTTAATAACTGAAGTTATGTTACATTCAGGGAATAAAAATTCCTCTCAGCACTAATTTGGAGACTTTATGCCCAGTTGCAGTAGGGCGTCATGGGACATTAGTAGGTCCTGTTTTACTTAGCATCTTTATTAATGATTTGACATGGGAATAAACAGCAGAATTAAATTGAGAGTGATGATAAAGGAAAAGTCAAAATCAAGACTAGTGAAGGCAAGGAAAAGACCCAGCTGTATTAGAAATAATTGCAAAAAGAACAGCAGGAAAAAAGGTAAGGAAAAAACACCCCAAATCAAACTTCACCGAGGTAGATTCTTGAAAAGCAAATATGTTGAGAGGTGGTGAACCTGATTAACAAGTTATAAGATAGTTATGAGCCTCTGCTTCCTTTCTTATTTTGTTTTTATGTTTTTTTTCTACTTTACCTTTTTGTGCTTGACATCACCCATCTTCTCCTGTGCCATGCAACCTTTATCACTTTTTTCACAACTCTCCTTCAAACATGTACTTGAGAAGACATTCATTGATCATGTCTGTACAATTTCTGTACCTCCTCCAACTTGTGCCCTTATTTTGTGCATAATATGTCAGTCTCAACCACTTTTTTCTGTGTCTGAACTAGATTTGAGGCTCAGCGGGGAGCACATCCTTTTCCATGTTTCTTTAGACACAAACCTGCTCCCAGCATTTATCAAACTGAGTGGAACTGATCAGAACATTTTCACCGAAATAAAATTTCAGCAGAAAATTTCATCTTTCATCAAAGCCAACATTTTTTATGCAAAGGGGTTTCAATATCAAGGAAGACTGAATAATTTTGTGTGGTAGGAAAAAGAAGGTAGGAGACCAGCTCTCTCACTAAAACATGAAATGTAAAAGGTCTCGTCGCTGGTTTAGATCCCCTTTGCCCAGAGTCAGAGTGATTTTCAATAAAAGAGGTGTTATGTGGAACAGGGACTTGAACCAGGGCTTGTTCAGTCTAACCCCTGGGTGAACCTTCCATCCAGCACTGACAACAGGACATATGAAGCATTTGGAGGCACACTTGTAAACATTATAAACCAAATAGCTCCCTATGGACAGATGTTTCTGTGGTGACTTTAGGTCATTCCTCAGACTGAACTCATTCTCAGTTTACAAAAATTTCTCATACCTTTTCATATTATCTAACAAATTATATCTTTCAAAGTATATTTGTGCACCTTTCAAAGGAAAGGAGGGGAAATTCTCTCTCTCAAAGGTCTAGCTTTTTCTTTGTATATTGTAACCTACATTATTGCACCCCACAAATCACCTGTAGAGGAATGGAGACAGGCTATGCTTGTTTCCCTGAATCAAGAACAAAGAGCTATCATTTCTTCTCTGCTTCTCCTGGTAAAATTAAAGAAATGTTATGAATTTTGTAGTGATTAATCCAGGACCAGAGGGATCCAGGCCAGATCAGCAGCCCAGATATATGAATCCACTAGAACGTCCTCCGTTCCAATATATGGTAAAACGGAGTTTGTCATCTTCCTGAATACACATCTGCTTCTGTTTCATGCTGTTGGTGCAGCTCAATGACTTTCTTGCTGAAATAGTTCAGGCTTTACTCTTTAAAGTAGATAAACTTCAGCCTCCATGAAAAGGCCAGCATTCCCTATAGGCAGTTATGCACGTATCAGGGGAGCGTACCATTATGATAAAATAAAATAATAAGCATCTCTTTTCCTATTGTCATCTTAAACTGAGGAGGAAGGATAGAA